AAAAAAAAAAAAAAGTAATGCAAAATATTTACTGCTTAAAAAATTATTTTTACACGACTGGCATTACTTCAGGGCAGCCCCTGCCGTCTATAAGTGGGAATGGTGTGTCCAGTGATGGCATGCTGAACATTAATAATAAATTATTTATAAACAATTTTGATATTCTAAATGTTAATCTGAGTACATGATTTTTGTTTCTATCAAAACATAAATTTAAATAAAATTCTATTTTTGTAAATCTTTTATCTTCTTTTGGAGTATTTATTTATAAAATGTTGAAAAAATTATATACTTTAAAGGTATAATTTGGTATTATTATAAACAAAACCCATGTTAATTATTAATCCTGATTGATATGATTTTGATATTCTCCTGAAATTGAAGAGATAATGTTTAAATCTTTCTCGAAAGTTATATGTTTCGTATTAAAATAAGAATATTTTAATGTCTTTTATAATGCTTCTTAATATCATAGAAAAAAAATAAGTTAATAACTAAATATTTTTAAAGAAATTGATAACTAAAAATTATTTTTTTTGCAGGTATCAAACACTTTGTTTAACTCATGTGCCTGAACATAGTACTCAAATATATGAATTTAGGTGATTTGTCGAGTGTGTAACGTTTATACCATGGGTACCTACATTTTACCTCAGATCAGAGTTTCAAGCTTATTGTGATTAATCATCAAGCATTTTCATTTTGTTACAATTTATAATTGATTTAATATTTTTAGAATTATCATGTATACCATGTAGATGTAGTATACTGTTTAATTTTTACTGACTCCTAAACTAAACTAGTTTATGTATCCAGTTTCTAAGAATATAACGTTTTGAATTAATGATCGGCAATTTTTTCATTTAATTACAAAATTTTGACAAATAAAATATTTGTGGACATAGTAATAATGTTTGTTTTTTAACCACGCAGTATTAAATCCACTTGACAACAATAAAAAACTTATCAAAGGCTCACTTTATTTTATTTATAAAATATCCACTAAACATTTTTGAGGAAATAATCATGGTTTCCCTAATTTATCTTTGAGATTTTTAAATTAACTAGACATTTGTATTGAAAATGTAATACAAAATTTTAGCCAATTCAATTAGCCATAAAAAATAATATACTANCATTTTAGCCAATTCAATTAGCCATAAAAAATAATATACTATTTAGTCAATATAATTATTATAAAAATCTTACTATTACTATTTATTACAAGATGATAATATTGAATGTTAACTTTTTTTATATAATAATCACTTATGGTTTTAAATAACATAAAAAATAGTTTCTTAATGAAATATTATTGTGCTTATACTAAGAATTAGTTAATTTAAGAACAATGTAATAATTTAAACCCTTAAATTTTAAATTGTGAGTATGATTATAAAAATTATTATAGTTATTTTTCTGTTGTACAATTTAATTGACTGTGATTACATTTAAATGTGTTGCTTAGTTGTTTTTATGTATTATTTTACATTTTTTTTTCATACAACTATTTATAAAATATTTTTTTTAAATATAGTATGAATAAAAACTGAAATTTTGTGTTTTTTATTTTATGAATCAACTGATATTGATTTATAATATTCAGAGCAAAGTAGGGGTGCTTTTAAAAATTGTTTTTAATATTTTTATCTTTGGGCTCCCCAAAATTTAATCTAATAATTATTAATAAAAACTGTACAAAATTTGAAACATGATAAAATTAACCAGTACCCCCCTTGTCCAATGGTAAGGGGTTAAATGGTTATTTTCCAAAAGTATAAGCTGGATTTTCATTATAAATTTGTTTTATATTTAACTTTAAATAACCCATAAAGAGAATATTTTACTGAAATTTCAAAAATTTACTTATATATAGGTTAAACTACTAATATGAACTAACATAAGTGCTGTATACAACAATAAAAAAAAATTATTTGAATTTTTAATGAGATTACTTTTTAATATTAATTTATTAAAAATTGTTTCACTAAGAATCTAGTATATTCTTACGAGAACATTTTTTATTATTGTAAAAAAATGATTCATTTTAAAAATGTTATTAAAATGAAGTGAAATGCAACTCTAATAATAATATAATTAAATTAAGACGGACATTTGGCTAATTAATAAATAAATAATCAAACTTTATGCAAACCCATTGAATTAAGTTCTATATTCAAACCAAATCTGTTTAGAACTAATTGCAAGTTATTTTTATGATGGTAATTAATAATTTGTTTAAAATAATATTTAGAATTATTTTTGATATACCAAAAACTACTATTTTTTTTCAGAACTAAATATGTACTGTTCAGTACGAAATATTGTCAAGAGTTTTAATATATTACATCTCAGAAAATCCTCTTCTAAATATCCAAAGCTTCCTGAAGAACCATCTACATGTTGCATGTCTGGATGTGCTAATTGTGTGTGGATTGAGTATGCCAACTCAGTTAGAGACATTTTATCTGAATATGATAGCAATGAAACCATTAAATTAGTATTAGAAAAAATACAAGATCCTAATATGAGAGCTTTTTTATCCTTGGAATTAAAGTCAAAAATCAAAAAATAATTATGTAACTATATTGAACAAAAATGATGAAATACATTATAATTACAATATATCTATTATTATTTATGAAATACAATGATTAAGCTGGTTCAGTAAATCTCTTTACATTGGCACTTCTAATTTTCTTGCGCTCCTTGTAAACTGCCATATGACCTATCCATGGATCAAAATGTATTAGTTCCAGTTTATCTGCTAAACGTTCTCTAAAAACATTGTATTTATGACCACTAACTATACTCTCCATTAAAACCATGGTATGTTTAGATTTGACTTTTTTAAGCAACACATTTGTTAAATACATCTTATTTTAGTAGTTATTTAAAATAATCACAAACAATAACCGAGACAAAAATTTTATATTGGCATTACTTAAACAGAATAGATGATAACTATGTACTTTTTAATATCTCGGTGGTAAAATGCAATTAAAAATTTATATATGAACATACATCAGATGAAATATTGATAACACATCAATCCACCACAAAATTGATATGAACTATTCTGAGAACAGGCTATATGTTATACTTGTAGAACTTCAATTGGAGTTCTTTTTATAAATTCAAATTTAAAAAGATTATATTCATTAGAGTTGTGAATAATCAGTTAAATATTGAAGTTATTTTACTAAGGTAAAAAAGTTTTTAACTCTTTACATTTATTTTTAATATATTAGGTTATCTATAAAATATTATTTTATAGTAATTAAATATAAATGCAATTGGAGATATAAGTTGATAACGATTTATATATAATCTTAATTTAATGATTTCAAATTAAATTTATAAAAATATAAAAAAAAAGTTTTTTGATGATTCATTACAATAGTAAAAATTATAATCGAAAAATAAAGCAATCCATTCATTATTACACGAATTAATGAGTTAAGGCAAATAGTTTAAATTAAAATTATTTTATTATCAGTAAAAAAAAACTACGCGCTCTATCAAATACAACACTTACTATACTTTTCCGTTAACAATTTCGAAGAATCTTCACTTTGTAAACTAAATTTTGTTATAGTTTGAAAAAAGTTTATATAGCACCACAAATACGAATTTATAATGTTTTCCGACATAGTAGATAACTTAAATTTAAATTTGGAATCATTTTCAAACTTGTCTGACGTATTATTCGAATGTGAAAATATGACCGAAGAAATTCAGAAAGAGCATGAAAGTAAGTTGTATTTTTTAAGTAATAGATATAATTCAATTATTTCAGAAATTATAATTATAATTGTATCATTATAAAATAATAATTGAATTTGTTTATTATTACAATTATAACGATTTTAGGATTAAATAATGTCTGTAATGAAATAAACAATGACTTATTGAAACATGAAGAACAGTTATCATATGTTGAAAGAGAACGTGTCAAACTTATGTCAGAATTGGCTTTGAACATGCAAACAAATGTAAGCAAATTTTGTAAAGTTCGATGATTAACTTTTCTAAATAATTAATTCCATATATATATATACATTTGATCATCACTTATAATGCTTTCTTGTAGCATGATATAAAAAATAAAGTGGAGAATTTAAAAAATACCCAACAATCCATTGAATTTGATTACAAAAAATTTAATAGAATGAAAGCAAGTAGTACAGATATAGATAAATTATCACACATAAAGTAAGTTTTGATTTATCTATGTTATATCAATAAATTTATTAATAAATTTTTATTTTTCAGAAAAACATTTATTACTTATAAAAATATGTTGAAAATTCATTTTGATTATTCTAATGGACTAAATGCAATAGTTCAAAAAGGCTGTATCCTTTTTAGTACTTAAAATACCTTAAATATTTAAAAATTAAATAGAATTGATTATTTACACTAACTTTTTTAGCTTCGATGCGAAGCTGAGAAGGTATTAATTTTACTATGATGTTTTTTTTTTTTTTTTTATGTCTGTTGCCACTTTTTCTCAGCTTTCACTGGACCGATTTCTTTCAAAAATACGTCAAAAGATCACAAATCGTATCTAGTTGGAGACATTACCTTTAAAAATTGAAAAAAAATCCCTCGTTCCCCGAAAATGGGGGAAATATCCAAAAAAGGTTACAAATTTAAAAATCGGTAAATTTTGTCATTTTTTTCACTTTTTTTTCTTAAAACTGCCATAACTTTTTCAAAAATCAACAAATCAACATAATTTTTTTTTATACTAAAACTTTAGATATTTCCCTTTCATTTGATATCATTTTTTTGAAAATCTATCACTTAACCTGCTCATTGGAGGGGATTTAAAATAGCAACTTTTTTACAAAAACTAACTTTTTCAACTTAATTTTTGAAAATGTTTCGGAAAAACTGCGTCCTTTAAACATATATCAAATTAAAGCTTATTTTATGTAATATAGAATAAAAAAAAAAAATTTGTCCCGACACTTTATCTTCTACATTAAAACGGTTGCCGTAGTTAAAAAAACACTATTTTTTGTTAAAATTTTCGATTTTAAATTTTCAATTTAAAAATGGTATAACTTTTTGAAAAATGTATATATCAGCACAAATTTTTTTTTTCTAAATACATTATAAGAACATCTTTCATTTGACATACTTTTTATTAAAATTGGACAATTTCCCCTTATATAGGGGGCGTTCAAAACTTGAAATATTGTAAAAAACATAGATCTTTTTCAACTGAACTTTTGAAAATGTTCTGGAAATACTGCGTCCTTTAAACATATATCAAATCAAAGGTTATGTTATATACTATCAAATGAAAAAAAAAAATTTGTCCCGACATCTTATCTTCTATGTGCAAATGGCTGTCGAAAATTAAAAAAAAATGTAATGTTTGCGATAAAAATCACCTTTTATCGGCATGTTTTTTATACTTAAAACTGCCATAACTTTTTCAAAAAATGAACAAATAAAAATAATATTTTTTTGTATTGAAACCTTAGATATTTACCTTTCATTTGATATAATTTTTTTTGAAAATCTAACACTTATTCTGCTCACTGGGAGGATTTAAAATAGTAACTTTTTTACAAAAAATAACTTTTTCAACTTAATTTTTGAAAATGTTCCGGAAATACTGCGTCCTTTAAACATATATCAAATTAAAGCTTATTTTATGTACTATAAAATAATAAAAAAAAATTTGTCCCGACGACCTATCTTCTATGCGTAAATGGCTACCGTATTCAAAAATATGCTATTTTAACAAATTTTTTTTTTTTAAATTAAACACTATCTACAGATTTGCATCGAAACGTTTCTTATGATAGTGATTTTAATCACTGTCCGATATCATCTATACTGGACCCAACTATGCCACGACCCCATTGTGCTGGGTTTTTTTATAATTATTTCATCCTAATTTGATTTTTATATTTTAAATGTTTTGCTCTCCTATATTTAAGTTTGAAGTTCAATATTGTAGTTAATTGATTATGAACTTATTAAAGATAGATGGTAATTTAATAATTCATAATTCATAAAAGATAATTATTATTATTATTTTATATGGACAAGGCTTTTTTATTGTGGATATGTACAATCCAAAGTATAATAAATATTGTTACTAAAATTTTAGATGCTCAGAAAAACTATTATTTACAAATATTTATTAATTATTTACAAATGTTCAATGCAAAAATAGAATATTAAAAAATTACTCTTAAAAATTTTGTTATTTAAAATAAAAAACATTGTTGTAAGAAATGTCATTATAATTATAACTAATTATAGATCAATAAAGCATTTCATTTAGGTGTGCAAGTTTTGGGCTATGGAAGTTTTCTTGTCTTATAGTTCAAACAATAGGTTTTACAAAAAGATGTTAACATAAATAACATTGTAAAAATTTTGATTTAAATTCCCTTAATATTTTTATATAGATATGTATAATAGAATTACCATGAAACTAACTTATTTCGAGTTCAATACAGAAACAAAATCAGCAGATGAAATAACTAAATATTTATGGAATAAAATACAGAAGATTTCAGACAAAAATTGGGAGTCAATTAATTAAATTTCATATTATTTATAATAAAATGTTCTAAGTATATTCTTAATTTTTTCATAACTTGGAAAGTAAATATCATATAATTGTTAACCATTATTCTCTTGCTAGTAAAAAAGACAGTCTATAATTTCTACTTTTTATTGAATTAATGACTTGTCGAATAAAAAGTAATCCTCGTATTTTTCAAAAAATCATATAACTGAAATTTTAACTTGTTTATTTAATATAATTAATAAACTAAAGCTGGAGTTAAATATTTTAAATAATTCACTGAATACATGTTTATTTTGTATATCTAAATTTACAAATTTATACTATTAACTATGATTTTAAAATAATAATTGTTTCTTGAAAAACTTAATGAAATAATTTGTTATTTTAGGATAAAATTTGTTATTTAAAATACTTAAATGTTATTATTTATTAATATTACTAATTTCAAATGTATCTCGTTTACATATCATTTGTAATTCTTATTAATTTTTTTTGTAATCTTTTTATAATGACTTTTTCTTTTTTTTTTTTTTGAGATTAAAATTTTTCCATTAAAATACCGTTGTCTTAATTGGGTTCAGCTTTGTGGTTTGTTGGTTTATAGCTTGGGCCATTTTTGAGTTTTATTATTTTTATAAATGTTTTGATGTCATTGAATGGTATAAGTCTAAGTAAAGTTACATTTGGATAGTTAGCTACAATTTTAGTGTATTTATAAATGTCTTCTTTGCCTTTTTATGACCAGGTATCCTTATTTACTTTTATTAAAGTATATTTATTTATATATAAATAATCTAAATTTTTTTTTTTTAGTATTTGATTTATAAATTTATTGTCATTAATTTTTCATGTATTTTATTTCTGTTAATAATATAAAATGTTAATATAAATAATATTTATAATTTTTTTTATTTTGGTATTGTATAATATTTTTATAAATTATTATCTAACTCTAAATTAACAATGGACTATATATATCTTTTGTTCAACAGATAAGGTTATTATTAATTAGGTGAGGCTAATAATTTATTTTTGGGTAGTATTGAATTTTTTATTGTAAATTTGTGAATCAGAAAATAAACAAGTTTTTTTTGGTGTGTTGTGCTAATTTTTAAACTGTGAACTTAGTAAAGGTTCAATGACTAGGTTGTTTTTGGTATAGATATTTTTTTCTTTTGTAAAGCCCTGGGATTATAACTATATTTACCTTAGGCATTTCCCTATCCAAAATATAATTTCTATGAAATAATGACAAACAACAAAAATATCAATTGTATAAAATTGTATATTTTTGTGTGACTTGTCATAGCAAGTTAGTAAAATTTGAGATGGTCCCGCGAGAACAACCCCCTTAATCTGAGTCTAGTTATATATATATGAAAACAATGTAATGTTTTATTTTCATTTTAAAAGTATAAAAACAAAAGTTTACTAGTTACTATTGCAGAACAATTGAAATTCCGTTATATGTCAATAGCATAATAGGTAAAAAAGGTTATATTTTATGAGCGGAATAACTTGAAATTATACTAATTATTAATATATAATTGTATATTAAGTAAATAGAACTAAGATTAAGATATTTTTTGTACATTTAAATATGTATTATATTTTGTAACAAAAAACACTTAAATGGATATTAAGGATGTAAATTTGAAAACAATTTGCATAAGATTTTTTAGTGGTTAACTAGTGAGAAATATCTAAGTCTGGTTACAGATTAAATACACTGATTATAAATTTCTTATGTTTTTCTAAAATTTTAATTACTTCCATGAAAAGAGTCATTTTGTCGTTAATTAATTTTTATATCAATCAAGTTTATGACACATTAGACGCCTATTAATTCTATTTATATCTTATATCATATAAATGAAGGGCTCAGTTAACAACCAGTCAACTTTACTATTTAAAAGAAATTTGAACTATTCTAAATAAATAATTTATTTGTTACAAATTATCTAAGCTTTATTATTAGCAAATTATCTCAATACGACTTGTATAACAATGTCTAAACAAAAGTCAGATAAGATCAGGGTTAAATTTTGTTAATTATTTTTATTTTAATCTTTTAGGAATATTGTAATTTAATTAGAATATACATCAATTACTGAATTCACTTCTAAAAGTTCGAGACATGTACTTATAAAAGGCTTAAAGTCTTGAAGTTAGCTAGTAATAAATCTTTAATAATTAAAGTATGTATAAGTGTATTTCTGGGTACTAAAAACAATTTATGAATAATAAGTTATTGAAAAACATAATTTTTTTTTGAAATATTTATATATTTTCTAGATTTCTCAAAATGAACTAGAGGTATATTTAAGAGTGTATCAGAGAGCTATGACATCCCTTTGAGTAATGCTTTATTTTATTTATTAAAGCAAGTATTTATTCAGTATATGATGAAACAATACCAAAAAATGTTTTCAAATTAATAAATTTACTGAACATATTAAAGAAATATAATTTCATTACAAATTAGAATATTTTTGTTATCATTTAAATGATTTAAATAAAGCTTTCTCTTCATATACAGTTGTCCCACTAGGTTTTGACATTTTTAATAAGTTGATTCAGTGAATATTTTGCGTCACTTTTATATTTAAATAATTTCTACAGATTTAGTGTACGTTAAAAGCATATTATCATTATTTTTCTCAAGGAAAAAAATTAACATGATTTTTTTTTTATATATTCAACAATTTTAAAAATGGCCGTGTTTCAGATATTTTCTTATAAAAAATGTTGACGAGTCAATGACAACTTTAAAATAAGTACTTATGGAATACAAGAATTTTAATACGTCGAGTGGGTATGTATAGTCTATGTATTAAAATGTATGTAACTCTGTAAGTACTTATCCTAAATGAAAAAAAAATTTAAATAAAAAAAATAATGCTAAATACTGGTTTAAACTACAAAAGTTATAAATGTATCAAAAACTGGTGGTACACTATATATTATGACAACCCCTTTGGAAAAATTTAGTGTATATCAAAGTAATGATCTCTTCAATTACGAAAAAGTTACTAATTCTAGTTGGGTTTGTAAATATTTTCTAAATATTATAGTATATTAATTACATACTCGAAGAATTCATACTAAGAATTGGTTTGCGTTGGTCTTTTAGATTGGGGCAGTTAGCAATGTCAAGTGGAACTTCAGATTCAGTCTTAGCGTCGCACGTGCCAGGCCTTATCACATACATACGGCATACATAAAAATTGTTTTACTGCGAGAAGGACGTGCGTCGTCGTCATAACCGTCGTGCCGGTAGATACGATGATCACGTGTAAGTTGTCTTCAACTTTCAACATCACAGTATATTTGATTTTTAAAAACCTACATTTTACTTTGTTTTAAATGTAAAAGATATAATTCTATTATGCGGTTAATAAATAATAGTAAACATTTGAAATAAATAATTTATTAACATGGAATGTGCAAAATTATTATGGTAAGATATATTTATTTTTTCTATAAAGAGTTAAAAAATAATAATAATTTTTTTAACGAAGGAAAATGGTGTTTGAACACTAAATTTTGAAAGGATGTTTCATAATAATTTATTTTCTTGTACAAGCTTTATTTTTATTTTTGTAAATAAAAAAAATAAATAAAACTTTGTGAATACAATTTTTAAATTATCCACCTACTTAAGTGATATGTTTATTTATATATCACATTTATTTTTTTAAAAGAATAAAAGAAATAAAATTATTATGTAATAAAAATACTTTAATAATCAAATAATTTTTTGAATCTATTTTAAATTATTTGTGTCAAAATTTACATTATAACAAGGCAACAAAAGTTTACCAAATAATATTTTCAGAGAATAAAAACTAAAAATAATATTAGGGGTGGTATAGTTAATAAAAAATCAAAAAATCTATTTATCCGTTGTCATTATAAAAACAAATTATTATTGAAGGATTTATTTAATATAAATATAAATACAAATATACTTAAATAGTATTGATAAATAAAATATTTGCATTATAAAATATATTTGAAGGTGAAAAAAGCAAAAAACTCTGGGTAATATAGTATGCATTTTTTTTTCAAATTTAAGAGTAAAATTATACTGTTGTATTTATTGATTAATTTTTATTGTATTTTTCATCTGATCAACTTATTTCTTATGTATCAAAAAATATTCACGAGTTTTGGTTCAGTTTTTTTAATAATAATTAGCTTTTACATACTAATAAATATTGTAGACATATTGTTTTAGGTGCGTGTCAAAAAAATTGTCTTTACGTCCAACTAAATCTAGTATAAATTTGTTTTTTACTACATTATTAAAAAAGTTAGGTTGCCCAAAATCAAAAGTTCGAAATGGAGTAAACTTTGATACGTCTCTAGCTCTAAGATGCTATTTAATAGTTTCTCTGTTTTGAAATTTCATCTCTGAATAATTTAATCTATCTAGATAAAATAAAGTTTAAAATTAACGGTTTAACATATTTTTCATAACACACTCAAAGACGTAATCGAACAAAGAGGTTAGAATTTATAAATTTCTTTTTTTTTTTAAATGAGCCGCAATTCTTATTTATTTAATTAATATTTTTATAGTAATTTTTAAAAATTGTAATGATTAAAATCTCTTTTTTGAATTTTTGTTTGAATATGACACTAAATTTGTCGATATCGAGTATCAAGTATTTTTAATATTTTTTTACAAATTGTGAAAATAATAAACTACTAGAAAACAGAATATGAATATTTTGGGGACCGCTGACGCCCCTTTTAGTTACATTCCTATTTGATACTCTATATTATAGTATCAAAACATTATAGATTAACAGTTACCATTCAGTCTTTTATTGTATTATATTATATTATTTTATGCTTTATGAATTATATTTAATTTCTAATAATTTATTCAGATAGCATTTTCTGTCACTAAATTTGCCAACTGAAAAATTAATCAAATGTTATTCAAGCAATTTTTATACGTTGTCATCTCCCCAATAATGCCATTGATGACAAATTTACGCTCACTCCTGTTTGTAAACTAATAAATGATTTATAACTATATGGCGAGGGCATCTGGTTACCCCAATACTCCCATTGGTATAAACCGTGTATATTTTATTCGTTGGTTGAATAATTATTTCTTTGCCTAAAGTATAATTCGTTATTGTTAGTAATATTCATTTAATTTAGTTTCAACAATCAAAATGTCAATTAACCTACATGTAAATAAATAGGTAGAGGCTGGCGACGTTTGTAAGTGTTATGTTAAAAGCAATATATGTACTTAACACTAGAACGGATTTCCGCAAAACACGCCCAGCGGTTTTATAATAATGCTGTGGAAGCAAAATTCGGATTTATTGCACTCCCATTTTTAGTTCATTATTATTGTGCTTATTTCTAAATAGGCATGATTAACTAAACAGACTTATATATTGTGTTAGTCATTTTTTTTAAGTATTACATTTTGGTTATATTTAACTTGTGTATTATTTAAAAAAAAATTGTTTGTTGCCGATTAATGCTTGCTAGTGATAATATACCATTTTAGTGTTATAAAATACTACTATATAGTATAAGTCAAAACAAAAATAAATTTTAACAAAGAATGTTAAAATCTTGTTATATAAAAATTAACGCCATAAATTTGAGGATTTATTATAGTGTTAGGTTTCTCAGTTAATTAATTAATAGATAGTTATTATTCGTTTAACAAAAAAAAAAAAATTTATAAATATATATTTTTCTATTCGAAAAGCATCGAAAAATACTCAATTTTAATTTCGTTAGAATATTTATATATATATATATTTAATAAAATTATTTTTTTAATGAAGTCACCATTCTCTTATATGCCAGTGATGGATCCCAGGAGATCAAAATATTCATGACCCTTTCTGAAAAAGGTGCAATATCATAATTTTTTTGTTAAACATCTTCTGGATCCATCTTCGACTTATTCATTGGTGTTCGATCAATTTATAGTTAGCGATGTTTAAATATGTCTTACGTGATTAGGGATATTTTTAAAAAGTTGTTAAAAAATAGTTGTTTACGGGCTCTATTTATATCACACCTATACAAATAATCACTAGTCCTATTGTCATATACCATTATGTAAAGCCAAGGAACGCGAACCATCTGGTCAAGACATAAAGCCTTAAAAGATTAAAAAAAACGATCTTACGGCTGGATAAATGTGCAACGTTAATCAGTATAAAATATTATCTTTTTATAATTTCAAGTTTTATTTTGTAATTTTAATTTCTTTTGAAATTTTCTTCCTTCAAAAATAAAATAATATTAATAATAAGTATCAACAACGACTATATTATTTTGCTAGTTGCTTTGGTTACGTTATTTCATATTATAGGTGTATTACGATATTAATTTTCGTATGTTCCCATCATAAAATTATAGGTTTAGCTGAAAAATAATTAAAAAAATAAAATATATCATATTTACAAGATCTAATAGAACAACTTGGTTTTTTACAATAAGTTTCATATAAGAAGGATTAGTTTAAAGTGTATAGGATTTACTCGGACTCTTTTTATTTATTAATAAATATTACATTGTAGTATATTTAACATAAGGGATGCCTTTTTGTATTTTATGTTAGAATTAATTACTTAAAGTTAGGATATTATGTGTATTTATTTTGAAAATATTTTAAGTAGAATATGTATTAATCTGATTATTCTGTTTGATTACACGCAACTAATTATCAAATTTTAATTTTTTATATTACATAAGAATATTGTTTAAATTATACAGAGGAATAATTTGTATGTATCAAAAAAATTAATGATACAAAGTACCAACTAATAGTATCCTAAATTTCACTATAGTACTTTGGTATTTTAAATCGCACTATATATATATTTATGTAACTAAATGTGTGTACACTGTTACAAAGTAATATTATCTATTGTTTTCGACTATAATCTTAGTACTAAGTTACGATTCTATATAATCATTTTTATTCGAAAATTTTCTTTAAACTGCACCTGGAGCGGCACCGATCGATTATAGTTGTACGGTAATATTAATACTGTACACTATGGAGAATGCATTGGAATATAATGAATTAAGAGCATAACCTTTTTATCGTACACAATATTAAATATTTCTTCTATAGATTTTGTTTGTGATAATATGTATACAAACACATTATATTTATTAACACTTGATGAGTTTCAACAGCTGAGTAAAAATAATATGACACATAGTGTTTTAGTTTTGTACATTTCTTTTAACTTCTACTGTTAATTTTGATTTTAACAAAAAGATAATGACGAATTTTTCATAAACTATGAAGTAGTAAGGTATGTGGTTATATTTTCAAAAACAAATTGATTTTATTTTTAATAATTTTTGTTTGAAAAAAATATTTTGAGTGTAATATTTAAATTTATATTCACGTAAAGTTAAAATTTTGCTGTTCACTTGCACTTGAATATTACAGCTTTAATCTACACAACAAATTTGTTAAGCTTTATCTTTTAATCTTAAACTATTATATTAAATTTCGTTATTTATTGCATTATTGCTATTGTATAAAGATTATATATGACGGAATTCTAGATCAATCTAATTAAACGGTAATGAATAAAAGTTTTACACTGTAGTGGTAGATAAAAAATAATTCAATGTTTGTTACATTACATAAAATGTGCATTAAATGTCATAAAAAAGTTCAAAAGAAAATTACTGATAAATTTTTGAATCATGAATTATGGTACATTTATTATCAATCGATTATGCTACTAATATTCATGTTTGTTATACAATGAACAGCATACATTAAAAATAAACAATAAAATAAGACCGGCAAGTGCGTATTGGACGCACACTTGTTAGGCTTTCGTAGCAGTTTTTTTTTTATTTCTCATTCATTCATTAGATGTAATAAATACTAGTAAATAATATACAAGCCGTATAATATTTTAAATCTTAAACATTCATCATATCTTATTAACCTCCTCTTTTATAGCTGTTATTACTAACTTGAAAAATCTATTGAATTTTTGTTTTGTTTTTATCTTTTTCTTTAATGTGAGCTCATCTGTAGCTTCCATGAGGTATTATTTTACTGGCATAATCATGGGGAAATATGACACCCATGTCCCACTATGACAAAAGTAATTATGTTGTAATGATAATTTTTTTTTCGTTTAGAGAGGAAAGAAAAAATTTTTTATAAAGTATATCACCCCCAAGACGAAATCCTAATTACGTCACTGTATTATGTTTAGACCAATTCAATTCTATTTTGTTTTTAATATTACAAAAAAATTAATTTAGGGGATGAAAAAACTACTAATATTAAAATGAACATATTTTATTAATAAATTATAAACCTTTGAATGAGTAAAAAATTAAATAAAGGAGATTTCCTAAAAACATTCGAGCTATTAAACAAATGTTTATATTATTTTCTATAAATAATCATTTAACTTGAAATGATTGTATAATTTCATTATGCTTTTTTTCTAGTGAACATTTGTTGACAACATAAGAAACATATTTTTCAAAAATAATTTTCAGAGATTATTTCTACAAATACAATAATAAATATAATATTTACAAATAGTTTTTATTGTATTTGTTGTAGACTATTATATTTTAGTGGTCAACTAGTAGCGCTAACTGCAGGATAGCACATCATAACTTAAATATTTTACGAAAAATAACACGTGGGTGTCGATGAGAAATACAACCAGAAAGTCATCTTTGTGTTCATTTCCTATCGTCGGTGGTAAAAATATATCAATCTTACTGTGAAAAGGAATCTCTCGATCGCGTGTAATTTTCAGTGCAACACGAGACGTTCGTTGCGCGGTAGGCGTATTGTCGTTTTATTTATTGACCTTATATTATAACATGCGCTTAATATTGAAATAATATGCACGTAACCAATAATGTGTCAAAACGCGTATAAAAATGTTATGGTAATTTTTTTTTGTCTTTTTTAAACATACAATTAAACTTGTTAATATTGTTGTGGAGTAATTGTATAATAATAATAATAATAAAAATTAAAATGCATACCCAATGAAACTTTTGAAAATAAATTTGGAAATTGTTTAAAAAATGTCCAGAGGAAACACATTAAATGTTTATATATTTATAATATATATTTTTATAAAATATGTAGAAATATAATATCGAACGTTAAATACATATCGTTATATTACTTTGTTTTATTTTAGACTCATGTATAATAATTATTAATAATGAATACAAATCACATGAAACTCGATATTGATTACCCGAAAATCTAAATATCAATTGAGAAAAAACATGTTTTTAGAAACCTAAGGAGATTAATTTCCCCACCTCCCCAGTCCATTAATGACAATGATTATTGAGTTATAATCACATATCACTTATTTTGTTCATCAATCTTATTATCAGTTACTTTTTCGACAAAAAAATATGTTATTGTAAATTGTCAAAAGCCAATAGGCTTTTGATATTCACATATGTATCTTCATTTATCTGCTATACATAATTGTTAGTTCCATCTCTTATGTTTTATAGGGATGTAAAATTTACTTTTTTTAATGGTTACATAGTATTAAACTAGCTCATAAAAAAGAAAATGTTGTAATTAAAAAAAATATTGGTCGATAACAACTTTTAGATTAGTGTTTTGGAAGATATTCACATTTTTGTATATAGACAGCAAGAAGAGAAATAACTATGATGAAATTAGCAGCATTCGGACTTCAACTCTGGTTAATAACTTCCAAATCATCGGTCCAAAAGTTGTTATCAATCAATCATTTTCTATTTTAAAAGCTAGTTTAATCAGTTGAATCTGTTCATTTATGATAGAATGTTGTTTACACCAATTAAGTTGTAAACAAACAATACTTAACTAACAAAATCCAAACAAAAAAAAATGTCAAAAATTGTATTATTTGAGGAGAAATTGAATGACTAACATTAAATGAATTACTCTGTATTCCAATCCTGTAAAAATAGGACATATGGTCACTCTACTATACAATATTACTTAAGTTTTCTACTATGGTGAGCACCTTATTGGATTTTTAGTTTTTTAGCGATCCCTACTATGAATAAAATTAAAAAACCTTATTTTTGGTTACCCTGAATAATTAGTTCATGATTTGTGGCTGAGAAAATCAACTATTAAGCATTAATATATTTGCTATGAATGATTTTAATTTTTCTGTTAATAGGTTAATTTTTGTTTCATCAAGTTTTACTGTTGCCAACAACCAGGAGAAAAAGGTCGCAGTAAATCAGAAAAGATCTGCAATTATTGCTGTGAGTATAATGTTATTATGGTATTAAATTATCAGAATTTTTTTTATTTACCACAATATTTTTCATTTTTCATATACTTATAATTTTTGTAAGTATATAAGCATTAACAGAAATGGGGAACTCCTTTTAACAACGTTATATCTCAAAAAATTTAATTTTTTTTAGAAGAGCAATTTAAAAAATTTTAAATGCATTGAAAATAAATAATTTAATTTGATCTCAAGCTGTTGTTTATAAGTTTTAGTTATTAAAATTAAGCTGGGATATACTACTTTTTTAGAATTTTCTGAAAACAACAATAAAAAATATCATATTTTAATATATAGCGTTATTAAAATGCAAGTGAAAAGTTCTCTTTATGCATTTTCATTAAATTATTATTTATCACTCATTATTATATTAAGTATAAATGTTATATACTTGATATCAAAAAAAATATGTTTTTTTGATTTAATTTATGAAAATCTTGAACTAATGAAACATATTATTTATTAAGCTCTGAACTGCTTTATTTGTGATTGCGTGATTATTGAAGTCACATAATAAATCTTAATGTATTTAATTTTCTTGTGATAATGCCTTTTTTGTGAAATGGCGTGTTAAAATTTAAATGTACGCTCTTTCAATCCAACTATTCTATTTTATATACAGCAACAACTAATAAAATTATTTCAAAAATAATAATATAAGTAAATATAATTAGCCCACCTCTACGGGTGTTAGTTTTTTTAATATAGAAAGTTATATGTTCTTACATTGTTGTATAATTTATTTGTGTACAACAAGAACCAACGTGTGGCCGACGAATTGTCAAACAAGTGATAATTTTATCTTATAATTGATACTTTTTAATAGAAAGCATTGCTGTAAGGTTATACCGTTTGTTTATAACTCATAAATTAATAGAGATATGTAATCCAATATTTTAACATAAATGTTTGAATTAGTGACCTTGAATGACCAATTCTAAATTAAAGATTGCTGTTTGATTGTTTGTTTTTGAAATGAATGAATATTACTTTTCATTTTGATTGTAATTAACCTTGTTGAAAAATGTATAAATTGCATGTTGAGCTAGCTACCTTCAATGTAATTATAGTATAGTACTGTTTAATATAATATATGTATAATATTATAGAGCTCAATATGATTTAAGTTTTAGTGTTATAACAAAATATAATGTATTTTAAAAATTCTTCCATACTTCATTTAACATCAATAGTCAGAGCGAGTGCCCCGGGCCTATCTTGAATTTTATTAGCATGCTTACTTTGGTTTTGAATTTTGATAATGTTTTTTATTTTGAAGCAATATACTTTGATTTTCCCAGCCAAGCTGCATAGGGAAGCCTATCTAAAGGTACTACCCCAGAGTTCACACAAGTCTTTTTCCAGGCCTAAATGTAATATTTTAGTACAAAACCACCAAATTCTAATCTAATAAAAAGAAGCTCTGTTCCTTGGCTTCCTTAATCGTTGATTTTATGTTTTATTATCTAATTATTAATTACCCATTTGTGACTTTTATTACTGTTATAATAATCATTCATCGACAGATATAAAGTAAATTCTTGAATCTTATTTATTAAATTGCAGTAGACACTAGTAATGTTTAATTATTTAGTGTTTAACATAGAAAAATATTGTGAAAGACAATTTATTTTTTATTAACAATTTGCAGAAAAAATGAATTTCAGTATGGTAAGTACTTCCCTTACTTTTAAAAGAAGTTTAATTCGATTAATAAGTTGTTGTATCTTTGCATATATTATTATAGAGTATCATATTGTGTATACAATATACCCTAAAGCTCTAAGTAATTTACCGTCTAGGGAAAATCTTTAATGCCGCCTTATTTTTTTTTTTGTTACTTTCATATATTTTGAATGAAAATTCCTAAAAATTTTAAAATGTTCCTTTGTGTATTTGTGCATAAAGCTCCGAGATTCCCATAATATTTAAAAGTAAAATCATATTTTATAGTAATTCTTGATGAAACTTTAATTCTTCTTGTTTCCTAGAAATTTGCCAACTTTTATTGGTAATCTCTTTTAAATACAATTTTTTATGTGTGTGTGAGTAATTATTTCGTATTGTGATTTATCGTTTATTCATGAATGTGTGATCAAGACGACAGGAAGATGTTACTGGTTAAATCATCCAGATGATTTATCTAAAGTGGAGCCAATTTAATTACCGTAAACACTATTTGGCCAGGTGTTATCACGTAGATCGAGTTGTCGCCTTAGGCTAGAAGATTCTTTTATGCTTGATTTCTTTATTAAAAGTATGATTAGTAGTATAGACGCTATATCTAGTAAATGTGTGGGTGCTATTGAGATTTTATTTTATCATGTCGTATTATTAGACCTAGTTGCAGTTCAGTGATGAAATTTTTATTAAGTGAAATTGAAACTAAATTTTGAAATACACATGAATAACTTGCTTATTCTAAACATTAAAAACGTTTATCATTCACAATTAACTTGNGCATTAAAAACTTTTATCATTCACAATTAACTTGAACAATTTAATACATATATATATATATATACCCGCCTACGATAATTAATCTAATTGAACGTTTTACATATCATTATTTCATTGTATATCAACATTCGTGTAAAAGAATGAAATAACAAATAAAAATAATTTTTGATTTTTGAAAAGATTTATTGTTCCTCCAATTATTTTTAACCCACAATATACTAACATCACTTCAAATGTTTCAAGAGCCCTCCTGCTAGGATTGGTTAAACTATTTATCTCACGATGATTTCTTAATAACTGTGTCTCATATTATAAATCATAGTTCAAAGTTTTATTATTAAGTAAATAACAACTGTAACATCCTTGTTTACAATTTTTTATTTATAATGACAAGTTTTCAAAAGGATAATAATTTTTTATGTCGACTGAAATCAAACTCTTATAGTAATACTTCCCATTACCAGAATCCTTAAAAGCGTTTTTACTTTGAATTAAAAAAAAATAAAGAGAAATTATTTTAAAATCATAAGAGNGAATTAAAAAAAAAAAAAGAGAAATTATTTTAAAATCATAAGAGTTCAAGTTTAATGACAATTAATAATTTTGTAAATCAACTGTGCTTATAAAATATAGAATAAACGACACATTGTTTAAATATTACATTTTTTCTGTATCTTAGGAATTATTTATTTAACTTTTTGTTATTTTTNGGGAATTATATATTTAACTTTTTGTTATTTTTGACACTAAAAATATGACATTCGTTTAATTTTTGTCAGTATAAATCTAGAAGTATGTACAGTCTGTTCCAAAACTTTGCGGTATGTAAACAAAATGAAATGTTGCAGATCTGCATTGAAATATACGGGTAGTAGTGTTCGGTTTAAGTAATTCGTTAGCGGTAACCGCATCGGTTCTGTGTATGTTAGGTTATGTATCGAGAGTATATTAGTATGTTATTTGGGTGGAATTATTCCATATTAAAAGGTTGGACCGGATCCAATGTTGTTTTTTGTACCTATTATTTTCTGACAATCCAGTGAGCCATGACTAGTACTTTGTCAATGTTGACAGGTTAGCTTATGATTCCATTTATATATCCATAGTATAACGGAGACATTTTTTCCGTTTTAATTTATCAAATTTCACTTTGCTAGTCGACACTTCTATTTTAAACACAATTAAAACACGAGAATGTGCATACGAAAGGCGTATACTGATCAATTTTGACAACTATAAATCGATAATGAATTTTACCGATGCTTCGATTATTTGTTACTGAAAATTATTTTTGCTCTCATTATAGATGTAACCGAAGAAGAGGCATAAGCCTTTTTTTAATGATAAAAATTATTTCTGTCCAAGGACACGGAAAAAAGTATGATTGAAATAACCATTTATATGGTTATCCTAATCCGAAACTCACATACATAAAATTTACAATTAAAAATTTATTACTATATAAAAAATTTATAATTATGTACAACAAATTCTTTTGATGATGATAATAAAATGTTGGTCTTGCTTTTGTTAAATCAAGAATGTTTTATTATAAATTTTTTTATTTAAGTAAAAAGCTCCTGTCAATAAACTTAAACTTTTTTTTGAGCTGGGTACATTTTTATTTTTGATACTGAATGTTGTATTTATTAATACATAAGTTAAGGAATTCAGAAACTAAAAATTTCACCTTTTTACCCTTGATAATAATTTTTAAAGTTGAGTTTTACAAAGTTTTAAAATATATTATATTTTAATATTTATATTATATTGATTAAAGTGTAGATATTAATACAAATTTTAATTAATATGGTTATATAAGCTACATTATGCGGTTACTTTAACCGAACACGTGGGTAAACACCACTATAATTCCCAACCGAATTGATTCAGTTATTTTAACTAAACGTCCTCGCTAAAATTACCAACTAAGATGGTTGAGTATAATATGGCTCTCCCATATATATATATATATCATTTTTAACTGTTTATTATACAAAAATTATACTTTCCATGAACAACTAGCCTGTTTCTTTACTTACTGAACACCTTGTATAATAAAATTTCTTTAGTACTTATTTCAAACACTTTTCATGATGAGTAGTTCTTTGGCATACATGCTATTAGTATTGAATTGATTATACAATAGACTTAGTCATTATTTACATATTTTTTTTACTATATAAATTTTAACCGTTTACCATAAAAAAATAACTTTTTTCCGTCTGAAAAGTAGAAAACTCAAAGAAATCGTGTCTTAAACTATTTCATTTTTATATCTATGACTATAAGATTATATTAGATAAGAAAATTAAATTATAAATTATTTTTAATATAACTGTTTCAATTAGTATTGTTCATTAAAACAAGGGTCGGATACGAAAAAAATATTTCTTTTAACATTTAAATATATTATAAAGTTTGAAAAGGATATTTTTTTTAAATAAAATTTTTAGTTTTTGAGTTACATTTTAATAAAAAAATGTTTAACGTTTATAATTGTTTTGTTATTGATGACGTTTTCTTGTTCTGCATTAAAATTTTTTTCACTATAACTCTCGTGTAAGGTTAAAAATGGCTTAAATAAAATCTCTACTTTAAAAATTTCTTTAAAATAAAATTGTTGTACATAGAGAATTTAAAATTAAAAGTGTATATTTCTCTCCCTAAATTTTTCACACATGTTTAATTATTGTATAGTGGGTGTTTTAATGGGGAGATATAAAGATTAGCTCCCCAATAAAAATAAATATAAAGTAATTATTTATTTTAGAGGTGGTAGTAAAATAATTCTTCTGTATACCCCTTCCCCAGATTAACTCTTGATAACACCCCTCTATTAGTTGAATAATTCAATTTATGGAATTCTAGTTTTTGAAATTAACTTTTAAGTGTTTGTATTTTATTTATTTAAAAATTCCATTATATACATTTCTAATATTAATATTAATTTCGGTTGTGTAAAATAATGAAACTGTCACACGTCATTAGAGATAACAATACTTTGTCTTATGAGTAAAAATATGTATTATTCATTAACAGTGAAATACTTAATTTGTATCTTTTTTTTAATCATTTGATTTGGTCTACCACAAATATTTGTTTTGTTATCTGTCTCTAATGTACACATTAATTACTATACTTAAAGAATTATTGAGTATAGTGTGTTGTGATTTGTTAATTAACCGAATGTATGTTCCCAGTTATTTGCTAGCTAACATTGTTTCATCAAAAACGTATAAAACTGATACCGATTTAATCATTATATCTTTGATTTATGATGTTGTATGTACTTGTTCCTGGAAAGTATTAAATTCCTATGAACTTTCCGGTACTTCTTTTTATTTCTATTTTATACTTGAAGATTTTTTAGACTGTTATGAAAGTTCATACTTTAATTTTAAATGTGAATTATGAAACGTACAACAAAAAGTTTACTATAGTTAGTGGGAACAATCTCTCTATCTTGAATTTGTCACTGAACTCATTGTTTCTATTCGATTAATTGTAGTGCTCATCTATTGTTCTCTTACTTGGGTACTAGTAAAAGCATCCCGATTGTGTATAATATCTAAATGTGTTTCATTCATTATTTCACTATTTCTAGTTCAGGAAGCGTTTAGAATTTCAAGTATATCTCATACGCATTGATCGTTGACCTGTAACCGACTCCACCTCCCGCACACGCATAGCTAACTTATAATTTTTTTGTATTCTTCATTGGATGTAATACGATTGATTAATTTAAGGTTTTGATAAAAAAAATACTAAAAAAAGTCAATTAGGTACTCATTTTAATTTTAAGGGTTGCCAGTAAATAAAAAAATGTTTAGTTAGTTAGAACATTTGACAGTTAAATTTTATTAATTTAAAATTAAACATTTCGAGAATTGATAAACAATAAGAAATTGACTATCAATTTGTTTGTATGTTTGCAAATAATAATGTATTATTATTAAAGTTGTAAACAAAACATTTCAAAATAATTTTTAGGTATATGAAAACAAAAGAACATCAAATATATATTTCAATTCAACATTAAAATCAAGTAATGAAAATGATCTTGGAGAATGGTCTCAATGGTCTTCTTGGACTCCATGTTCTACATCTTGTGGTTTAGGAGTTACGAAACAAACAAGGCATTGTTTAAAGAAGCCTGTCAATGTGAAAAGGTTATAACAAATTTGGCAAAGCTTTTTTTTTATAAATATACAATTAATAAAAATATTCATGATATTTTGACGACAAATCTAATAACTTTTGATGAAGCAAATATTTTACGTTACAGTTTTGGAGTTATGTTAAAATCATATTTTTTGTTATTTGTCTCTAGTGAGTAATTTTGATGAGTCGATAACAACTTTAGGATAAATGCTTGTTGAGTTACAAGCATTATAATACGTTGAATGAGTATATAGTGCGGACGGAGAATGTATTATAAATATACACCGGTGCAAGCTGTACCCACCCGCACTACATACCCACACAATGCATTAATAAAATATTTACTCAATGAGTACTTATCCTAAAGTTGTTATCGACCCATCAACATTTTTTTGTAAAAGAATATCTATTTTGAAATTAAAAAATTATAATAATTAAATTTTTTTTCTTATTATAGACAAATAATAAAAACTACGATTTTAATGAAGTCCAAAACGGTAAAAATGATTTAAAAAAAAATGTTACCCAAAATATTTACTGAATTTAAAGTTTTTAAATTCTTCAAAATATCGTGAACCATGTTATAATACTGTTAAATTACTTTGACTAAATATTTATTATTTAAAAAATAAAAATTACAGTTAAATTAACAAAAACTCATAATTTATTTAAGAAAAAGATTATGAATTGATTTTGATAATGCACTTGTTGATTTTATATTAGGATTTTTTCCAACATATCTTAAAAGAGATTTGGCATATATTAACTCAACGTAAATTTTTAATTGTGTACATAATTTTAATTTTATTACAATTACTTAAATGTTATTAAATAAAATGAACACGTAATCTTTTTAAAAAAAGTAAATAATGATTACATGATAATTCCTCGTATAATCATTTTTTTTATGTGGTTTATTTATTTCTCGTTTAAAAGTCTTTTTCGGAAATATATTTTTTAAAAACATGTGTTTTACTGAGAAATAATATAGGTAGAATAAAATGTTTATGATTATCAAAGTGTTTGCACCTTAATTATTATTCGTTTAAGGTGTTTCACAACAAAAAGAAACTCAAATCTTTTAATATCATGTTATCAATATCAATTCAATTTTATGTTTACATTTTCTGGATACATTATAGGTTGTATATGATCATACATTATAATAACAAGATGATCCACCTCCCTAATTGATCGTTTAGGTGCCGATGCAAAGAACGAAAATAATAAACCGACCGTTGCCTGGAACCTAACATTACTGTCATTAAGATGCGCGTTTATCACGACATGTGATACACCCAGTGCACATTACTTATAAATCTACCTTATTGTTTTTTTTTCATTCTATTTTTGTTCTGCATTATGTATAATACCATTTAAATTTTCATAATACACGGCCACTTAAAAAAGTGGTCTTCTGTACCAGCCTTTTTATCCAAATAATGACCTCCGACAAAATCACTTAACGATATTTAAAGCATATAATTGAAAATAATGCTAGATCAAAAATAAAACTGATGTTTTACTTAACCATCACTGTTTTATTTGAGCAGGAAACATTCGTAAGAAAATAAAATAAGTTTACAATATCCATTAAACTTAGATAACTTAGATTTTCATGATGACTTTTATACCAACCCCTATTTCGAATTTTGATACGTCAATTGTGAATGAATTCGTTTTGTCATGTCTCTCGACAACCGATGATGTTGCAGGCGCCACGTTACATTTTTTTTTTTTTACGAAGGGGAAAAATAGTGATCAGTAATACCATATGTTTTATAGTTAAATGTTATTTTCAACGTAAAAAATTGATGCGTTATGGGTTGCAGTACTGATTAGAACACCGTGACGATCTAATGTTTATGTATTTCCGCCACGATTGTTATGTTAATAAAAAAACATAGGAATAAAATATTACCCACTAATGTACACAGCAGCAATTATATCATACTGTTAAAACAACAGTACAACTTTATGAAGTCTATTAAAATGCATTAAATTTGGTGATGAAATGATAGACGATTTATATTTATTATTATCAATTGTGTGTTATGTAGAACGAATTTGCTTTTAATTTTAGTATTTTATTTAATGGTCTTTATTCTATAGTATAAATTGAACCATGCTAAATGTCCTAAAATATTACATTAATAGTATTTTTTGAATAACTTTCTTTTTAAATTAATGTAGTATTAAAATTAATGATATTTATTATATTAAAACTAAAAATGAAATTATAGTTTAAATATTTCGAAAATAAAATTTCAATTTGAATATTGATTTGTCTTTTTAATTTATTTCGAATTAATTTAATAAACACGTAAAATAGCTTATTTTATATGTATTCTTGTTGATTAAATTTCAAAAAATTTATACTAACACAGGAATGCTGTCTTTAAAAGACAGCGACTAAAAGAATCACCAGAAGAGAATGCCAAGTGTCGAATTCAATCAGAAGAGATTCGGTATCACGTTTGCAACAAACAGGTGAGACATCTTTATAATTAATTTAAAAAAGCGATACTTTATAATTTTCTTCGTTGACACTGTATTTTATTAGTACAAGAAAAGTACTTGCATCTATAAATTCCCTCAAAGGTTTAAATATGATTTTAATCTACACAAAAAAACATTTTTTAAATTATAAAAGTTATGAGCGAGAAAGATGATTGTTAAATCAATTAGTCAATCAATGAAATGTAAATTTAATAAGTATTAAATGCGATAACCTTTATAATCATTATGGTTTTGTTGATTTTAAGGTGTTATTTGTATCAATGTATTGAATAAATATATTGATTTATTATAATAAACGTATAACTGTAAATACATAAAAGTATAGATGTACATTTATACAATTAATCAAAATAATATTTTCATATGTATATTTCTATTGACCCAAGGTGAAACAGTAGGAGGGCTTTAATTGTCGAAGATAGCGTTTAAGGACTTAGGGACATTGGTCAGGATGACTGGTCATTGTTATAGAGGAGTTCGTGTGAGGTAAAAACACACGGCTAGGGTGCCAAAACGTCTTCGGAATTTCTTTGACTTCAAGGTCGACTTTCAACGGGGTTTTCTCCAAGTAGATTCTTTTTGATGTGAATGATACTTGAGATTTAAAGAAGGCTTAAAAAATACGTCATTAACAATAAGCAAAATCGTGTTGTTATTATTATATAAAATACATTTTCGTCGAAATCAAAATTATTTAATGATTAGTCTCTAGTTAAGTGCAACTACATTAAAAAATAAAAAGACTAAAATCCATTGTTGTGTTAAACTTGTTAGTTAGTTGAAAAACTAACAATTTAATAATGCTCAAACAAAATAATTATTCTTTTTTGAATTGGATGCTTAAAATAAAGGTGTATGCTTAGTAGCGTTTCAAATTAATAGAAGTTTTAATAATTGTATTTCATTTTTCAGTCGGTTTATAATAGAGTTATCATTTTCAATTATTCACCTATTTAATTAAGGATTTTCTCTTTCACTGTAATCCGTTTAATGTTATTAATTGGTTGGTATATTATGTTTAAAAAAACGCCTACAAACCTCAAGGCGAATCAAGACCACCCGAATGGTTTTAATTTGTTTACTCTATAACTTCTTGTTGCTAATCATTTTAATATATTTATTACAGAAGTTAAGACAGTTGTGTTTTAATTTTGATATTTAAAATTGGAAAGTTTGTGATAATGCTATAAATAATAAAACATTGAATAGCTACTTTTAATGTAACATACTTGAATTGTTTTTTTTTATTACCTGATTAGTTTGTATTTAAATTTGATAATGTTACTTAAAAAAAGTTTAATATTAGAAAAAAATCTATAAGTAACCGTTTCATAAATAAAAAGATGAACACGTTCAAATAGTTCGAAATAAGAATTAGATAGTTAATATGAACAATTAATAAGCCAATATTAATAATTTTAACTATTGTACTTAGTTGAAATTCCTTAATTTTATTTTATAATAAACTACCAATTATATTAATAAATAATAATTTGTAAGGCAATATATCTAATCTGATATAAATAATAATAATTATAAGTAGATTTAATCGTTAACTATCAAAATATTATCATAAAGTTAATTTATTACTTTTATACAAAACACGTCGCTTATGACAATCCAATTCGTCGTACATAAAAAAGTATATGATTATTCATTTAACATACGTGAAACCATTGCATTGCACATTTAAATGAAAAATGACACTTGAAACTAAAAATATATTGTAATGTATGTTATGAGTACCTAATTTTTCCAGACAAAGATTACTTGCTGTAATGTTTTGTTTTTTTTTTCATTTCAGTGTAGTTTAAAGAGACTTGACATTTTAAAACTTTTTAAATACAAATGACTACAATAATCGTTATTACACGTTGACGCCCGAAAAGACATCACGTTTTATTCTGACACTAAGGGGAGACTTTATTTTTTCAATTTAAAACCACATATCAACTAAGTTTTCAAAAAAAAAAAAATTTACACAATTACGTAATGTGTTCTTTTGTATAAGTTTTCTCGTTCTACCAAAAGACATATATGAATTGATGACACAGAATTTTTGAGCGGGTGTCTCAATGAAAGTAAGAATTTCTAACAAGCTCTCAACGGTTAGTGACATATGCCAATCTTAATTAAGATAACTGGATATTAAATTACTTTTAATAAAGTAAATAATTTTTGGATATGGTCATATGATGTGGTAGATATTTAACGACTGGGACAAATATGGGTTTATGGAATTACACTGATCATTTGAAATTTACGCAACGTGTAGCATTAANAATAATCGATTGCTGAACACTTTTGTCAGTAATTTTAATACATTTTTTTAAGTTAATTATGTTCCCTAGTAATTTTTTAGATACTGTCTAATTTAATTTTATAGTAGTAGTTTAAGAATCTCAATTGATACTTTAGTTTTTATTATTTAAAAGGGATAAAGAAAAGATTTCGCCTTCTTAGCATTGATCATAGACCTAGTTATTTAAGTATGGGTTTATGGAATTACACTGATCATTTGAAATTTACGCAACGTGTAGCATTAATTTGATAGATTATGTTAGCCGATTTTATAATGTGTCCATATTTTTTTAATGTATAAAAAATTAGCCAATACTGGAGCAAAATAATAATAATGAAACTAAATAGGTTCACATTTTAACAAAATTTGTTAAAATGGTATTTAATATAATATCCTCGACGGATCATTGTTAAAAAATTCTTGAATATATACTTATAGAATTTATGTAGGGTGTTCAGTAAGTAAGAAACGAGTTTTATTGTGTTTATTGTTTGTAACAATTGACCTGTTTCCTTACTGAACACTCTGCATTCGTAGTAAAACATCTACTTTCAATCAATAGACAAAATGAAAAAAAATGACTTTAGTAAACATAATTTTTTTCTATTCTCACGCTTGTTCCTTAGGTTAGCTTTTTATCAATTATGACATATTCCAAATTAAGCATTGGTAACGGGAAGTAAATTTTATTTTGAAAAAAATCTGATAATGAAAAGAGAGATGTTCACAAAAACAAATATAAAAACTAGGCCTTTATAAACCGTCCGAAGGTCACATGGGTATATTCAAAACAATGCGGTGACAATATGACTTTGTTTTTAATGTTATTCATAGACGTTGTATATATTTTAGCCCGGAAAATATCGTTTTTCTTTCTTTCATCTTATCTGGCACATATGGATAACAATAAATCTCTCTCCGTTTTCAAATAACTCACTGAAGAAATTTATGTCTTTTATATGATTCAAAATTATTGTTTTTTCTAAAATTAAGTTATTCCGAAAGCCTTCAAATTTCAATGAATCCCTTTTAGATTCAATATTCACCATTAGGAATGGTTAACCGCATGAATACTTAACACTTTTTTATGTTTGTAGCCATGCCCAATTACAATTGATTTTCGAGAAGCACAATGTACCTCATTCAATGAAAAATTATTCAATGGACAAAAGTATACATGGACAACCTATCATCATTGTAAGTATTGAGTAATTGCTGATAGGAATTAAATTCATTTCAATATTTTGAAGGAGAGTGAATTGATCATACAAAGTTCTATTCCAACTTTTTTATATTCTTTTACATATTATGACAAATAGCCAAAAGTTATACTCACATTATTTCTAATTCCTTTAAAAATCATTTTTAAAATGTACAATCTAATACATTAATTTTTACTATAATTTCGAAGCATATTATTCATAATTGTTATCCAAATACAAACATCCATACGTATTTGTATTCATTCACAAAAAACTTATTTTATGTTGAAAATAAAATGCTAAATCGCGTTTCACTTGGGTAACACATCATAATAAAGTTCATATCAAGTTTAGAAGGGCAATGCCCTGACTTCTGAGAAATGCCCTTTGAAATATCAACACTTTTTTCTCAGTATACAACTAATTTGTATTTTATTATGATATAATGATTGAATATTTTGACACAGAATTATTAATTTATACATTATTCTCAAAATTTATTTTCCTATTAAAAAATTATTTTATTTTTTTAGCAACAAATCAATGTTCATTAAACTGTCAAGCTATTGGCTATCGTTTTTATGCTGTTCTAAAACCTAATGTGATTGATGGTACACCTTGCAATGGAACTAATGATACTAGTTTACACATTTGTGTAGAAGGTCAATGTAAAGTAAGTTATGTTTTGTTTATAAAATATTAACGAAGAATTTTTGTTGGACATTGAAATATCAATTGTGTTAGTAATGGTTTTGTCAATTAGTTAAACTTTCACTGCGTATTTAATATATTTTACTATTTTCTTAAGAATTCTATTAGAGATAAATTTACAGAAAATTAATTCTTAACTTTTAAGTATTATTTTTCATATTGATTTAAAATAAATTTTAGTTAAATATTGAACTATCATTTATTTATTTTATATTTTAATTTCAATGAAAAGCTTAAAAAGTAGGCTTAGTTATACTATGATGTCTAAAAAATCGACCGTCAAAATTAAAAATTCGTAATTTTTACAAAAAAAAAAATTTTCTATTTTTAATTTTTAAAATGTTCCGGCATGTCTGACATATTGAAACTTCATATAAATTAAAGTTATTTTAACTTACATTATTAATGAAAAAAGTAAAAATTTCGATGATTTATCTACAATAAAAAAAAGGTTAAAGAAGCCAAAATTTCAACAAGTTATTCATACTGTGTATCACTTTGTTTGTAGTATTCATAACACAAAGTTTAACCGATAAATAGGTGCAAAAAACCGTTGAAACTATTTGTAAAAACCGTAGATTGAATAGTATAAAATGCCTGTGAAGTTTCCACAAATTTCAAGGACTCTCTTATATGAAATAATATCAGAAACGCTGCGATACCGAACATTGTGTATAAGTTTGGTCACAAAATTGCTGACACTGAAGTAAAAATTGAGTCAGATCGCTAGCGCTTCCTGGAGATTTTAAACCACTCTTCTCATTCCCCTTATTTGGTGACTTAAAATTTCAATCACTTCATCTACTTGAAGGGGAATTTTTTTGGTGGTACAAAATAGCTTCTTGAAGATATCTTAAAGCGAAAAAAGAAAATGGCGGGAAATTTCTTTTGGAAGGGTATGAAAAAAAAGTTGATAATTTGACCATCAAAAAATTTAATTATTTTTAAAATAAAAATTAGAAAAATCAAGTAAATATTTTTCTGAATATGCCTTGTTCATAAATCGATTTTATTTAAATTAATTACTAAAAACATAATGGTACTTAGAACTCACCATTGGATTTCTATTACACTTTTGAGTAAATTATGGTTTTAACGTACCATCACTTTGTCGTGTATGGAGTATAAAATTTATTGTTAAAGGTTTTCTTACTAAGCCTTTTAGGGTATTCTAGTTGCACACATTGAGAAACTCGTTTTTACAAAATGAAATATGATACTATACGTTTGTATTTAGCGTCGAAAGATTAAGGGTAAAAGGGTGTAATTTGTTACATGTCTTATTTTGTCGGTTTTATTTATTGTGATCAACTTTAAATGGTGAATTAAACTGTAAGTCTCATTCATTTCACATTATTTGAGGATCAAACAAACATTCGTACAAACGACATTTCATGCTATTGTATAGCCTAATGTGTATAATATGTCCGAAGCGTTTTGAAGTTCTTAGTACTTACATCATTATAATTATTACATATTGTCTGCTGGCAGATTTCCCCTCAGGTCACAAAGCACCTTTTTCTTTGCCGAACGTGCTGGGAATCATTTAATTTACAAACGATGACTGAGTAACTACTAATAATTGATCTTTGCCGCTGTACCGCCCAAAAATCATCAGATTAATCCTGATTAAGTCATAAAAATCGTGATCCATAACATCTAATTGGCCCATATTAAATAATAATTCTTAACATAAAATCTGAAAAAGAAAATAATTTGAAATATTCTTTCAAAAAAAGGATTACTAAATTAATTCGTGTTTTAAATATTCATGACTGTTTGATATTGTATTTTATAATCTAGAGCTTACATTTAATATTTTATAAGTGAAAAAAAATTAGCGTTTTATATTCAGTAGCTTCAAAAAGAAATATTTTGAAAACCATTATGTACTTAAAATAGCGATAAGATGTTAAACTGTTATTTTGAACGGTCAATTGACAAAATAAATTACAGACTATATAGTTAAACGTTATTAATGGACCGTGTAGACGTACAGGTGTGAACATACAACAAACGTAATTATATAGGACAAATGTAATTTGAGTGGTTTCCACCTAATAATTACGCAGGTTTTATTTGTTATTATTTATAACTACGTGTGGTAAAAAACAGAGTAATTCAATGTATATAATAGTATAAATCTTTGTAAAATATTTAATAATAATTTAAGTAAAATTTTTCTTTCAATGAATGCCTTTTAAATATTATTTTTAATACACAAAAACAGAACTTATAACTGCACCTTAAAATTCTTAGCGAGCAACTAAATATACATGCCAGCTATTATTGTAGAATATAGAAGTACCTAAAGAGTTTTTATATTCGTGTCTTTACATTGAAGAAATTATTTTGTAGCGTTATATACTGTTAATAATTCTGCCGTGTTAAGCGAAAACAGGGTAACTGCAGTCAACATGATTGTTTAGGAACACAAAAAACATTTTTAACAGTAAATCAAGATACCCTTTTTTCCCAATGTATGAACATAAGTCAAAAGATAGTAACTCCATTATTTTTTATGTGATATACCAAGTTTTTGCTTAGTATTTGAATTTACCGTGTTTTCGCTTACAAAACATCAAATATATTGAACTTCCCGTATATTTTCTTATTTTATATTTCAATTTTAGATGGGTTTTAATAGGAAATATGCTATTTTTACATCAAAAATCGGTGTAAAACCACTAAATTTACCTATAGAAATAAAAAAATTTTTATTTTTTATTTTGGAGTTATCCTATTTTTGCTTAGCACGGCAGAATTGTTAACAGTATGTAAAACTGTGTATTATAATATTTTCTGTTGTACATTGTTATGATTTACTTTTTTAAATAAGTAGGAAGTTTTTATCCTTCCAATATTTTTGTAAATTCCAAAAAAATGTCTGTGATTAAATAATACTTATATAAATTAAATTAACTTAAACGTGTTGTTATTTTTAATACTCTTCTTTGAAAAAATTATACTAAAGTTTAATTCTATACATTTTATTATAAAAAAAAAAAAATAATTAAAATTAGATATAAGTTAAAACCCTATTGAATATTTGATATTTGTATCAATTATGCTTAATTCTAGTGAGTAATTGAATAACAGAAATTGATACGTATTTATGGGTCACAGGTTTACCTCTGAAATAAATGATTGCTTAAATTTTGATCAAATGTTAGGAGATAGAAATAGACTAGTGGACTGTTGTACAGTGGACACAGTAGACTAGTACCTCATAAAGCTAACGACTAATTTTGAGAAAGCTGCCGTAGCTCTCGAACGCCTTCTGTATTTGTCATGTCATTATATATTTATTCATTGTTAATATTTTATTTAATAATGTTTTTATTTATTCAAAAGAATAAATGAATTGATATTTGCTATTTAATTAATTGATGTATTTTTTGGATACCATTATCTTTCAAATGTTTGATTTGGTGAGTAAAAAAAGTCCAGAGTTTTGGGCTGCTTATTTCCTAGTATTATGCATTCCATTCCTTCCATTGTGGGTGATAATAAATTTTTTTTTATGTTAATCCCCCAGGACAAAATATCAAAAATTCACCTCTAAACAGAGACATTTCCAACTGTTGTACCATAATATTATTGAAGTTATTCTGATATATAGGTAAGAAAAATGATCAATTTAACGGAAATCTGTATTTATAAAAACATATGTGCATTTACCATTAATCATGTCGTTTTCACCATATGATCTTCTTTTGTAAATACCTCATGAGATCTTTCGAAATTATTATAGATAAGTAGCTTATGGCATCATTATGCTCTTAAGAATGTAATGTTCATATAACTTAATTTATTAAAAGATCTTATACTTGGATCATATATTTAGACAGGTATTTATTTAACGTAATGATTAATCACACAAATTAAATATATTCAATAATTCCATGCATTGGCATAAATATTTTCATATGACTTCAAACACTTATTTTTGTACAAGTTTGAGGTATAGTTATTAACGTTATTTTCTTTGTGTGTGAACGTTACTAATTTATTTTTATGTTTTTAACCATTATTGCTTTATTGTTATTAAACAGATTATAATATTATTATACAAAATGCATACAGTAATTTAATGATAAACTTATTTAGACGTAAATGCATAAATATTTTCAATCAGTTTTTGTCAAATTAAACTTAGTCAAAATTTATAAAAATACTGACAATCTTTATTTGATATGTCAATAATTAAAATTTTTATTGTCTAATAATACTCCTTAATGTAGTTTTACTATGGAGAAACTATTTTCAGCCCACTATGCACATATTTGGCATTCGGGCGTGTATAATAAAATTAAGGGTATAGATCATAACAATAGATAAGTGACAGGACATGATTGATAAGGTCTAATTTACACGTTAACATGGTTTTAAATTAAACAAATAAAATATGTTCTATGACAACTTAAAATAATTATAGGAGTCGTTTTTTTTTTTTTAGGGCGGTAATTGTTGGATAGGGTCCATTGTTAGGTTTTATTGAAGGCATTATAATGCTCATGACAATTGTAAATAATAATGACTAAAGCGTTCACTAAGTAGTGTAATATGTATAAGATTAATGTATGGACATAGATATATTATTAATTTTGCTAGAAATGATTCTTTTCTCTTCAATTATTTTCTCTTCGATAATTATTTAAAACGTGTTATATTTAAATAAATACATTATTTTCAATTAAACATTATACTTTATAATAAAAATGATAATAATAAACCAACATTTTATTGAATAAATTCTCCTTAATTAAATAATAAAACTATTTCGTTTCCATTTTATAATCTATAGAGTTGTTTTTATACATATAATAACAAATAAATATTGTTTAAAATTGGGATTGTAAAAGTAAAATAAGATAAATTTATAGTAATAGATAAGTAAAAAAATGTATACGAAAACTTGCCCCATTTATAATTAATATTTTTATTTAGTGAATTTGAAAT